GCCACGTAGAGCCCCGCCCCTTTACGCCCGTAACTCCGCCCCCACCTCGCTTAGCTCCTCCCCCATCTTGCGGAGCTCGGCGCCTGCCTCCTGATCCACATTCTGGGCCATCCCTGCAAAGCCGCTAGCTCCCGGTATCCCCCATCCTGCACCGCGATCTCTCGCCTAACAGTGATGGCGAACCTATGACACACGTGTCAGAGGTGACACGCGAACTCATTTTTTTGGTTGATTTTTCTTTGTTAAATGGCATTTAAATATGTAAAATAAATATCAAAAATATCAATCTTTGTTTTACTATGGTTGCAAAGATCAAAAAATTTCTATATGTGACTCGGCACCAGAGTTAAGTTAGGGTTTTTCAAAATGCTGACATGCCGAGCTCAAAAGGTTCGCCATCACTGTCTAGGACCTGAGCCCTCCCCAGTGGGCCATTTTGTAGGGCCCTGCCCCTCTTTGATTGCTTTTGCTTAATTTTCAACAAAACTTAAAGGGTTTCATGGGAACCCAGGGTTTCCCTGGCTACCTGAGAAGTACAAATTCTCACCCCCACCACCTTTCAGATTCCTGCTCGGTTTACTTTTTCAAAACTGTATTCTGAGCATACTATAGTCTCAACACATGTTTAATTACCTGTTTATTTTCCTCGCTCCTCCCATGTCTCCTCATAAATGGAAGGTACACTTATTAAAACTCCCAGAATCAATCCCCCTGCTTTAGTATGCAAATGAAGCTTTGAAACCCATTAATATTCTAGCTAGGAGACCAGGATTTCTATGCTGATTCTTTTTGAAACATAGTATTCACGTAGCATGATAAAACTGTGTGTGCCATGGGGCAAGGGTGGCAGTTGGGGTGGTTAGAGTATAAATGCAGAAATCCTGTCAGATTACATTTTGGTACAAATGTGTTCTATGCTTTCCATATTCTTTGCCCGTAACTTTTTAAAAATGCAAATCATGTCAGAAGGTATAATTCAAGCTTGTCATTATTTTCCTACGAGTGCAAAAATAACAGATTTCTACAAATATATTTTTGAGCCTTTTAATATACATTACAAATATTTTAAACCAATCACATTTTATTGTGTGTAACATATTTACAAAACAAAAATATATTACAATAAATATGAATGAATGAAACGGCGAATTTGACCAACAAGAAGCTCTGTCACAACCAGATATTTAAAAGGAATGCAAAAACCTGTTGGTCTGCATATGTTAAGGGTTTTAAGATAAATAGGGCTCCAGAGTTATAACATATTTGGAAAAGAGATGGGGGAACCCAAAATTAAGTTAGGTAAGATTCTTTCTCATTGCTAATTACATAATGTTTAATGGTGTTTTAAACTGTGAACAGTGATGAATTACCCAAACATGATACAAAGCTAATATAGTGCTATCATTTCAAAATGTAGGTGGCATTCACATATCCTTTTAATTATTATCATTATATACTGTAGTTCACACAATATCTACAAATGTGAATGAGAATAAAACCAAGTCACAGACACATGTCTCACATTCCAATTTTAAATAAGACAAGCACATACTGGATCAAACATTATTTTATAATATGTTAATAAATAACACCTAGTTTGTTATGGTTGCCTTGAACAGTTTGTAGCTGTATATTTTAAAAGAACATTTTTTGCGAGTTTCACATTGTCAGTAAAAAGTAAAATAGAAAACAAATCCTTTTAACAAAAAAAAAGGAAAAAAAAAGTTCTACATGGAACATAAAGCATTTTTTTCTTTTTTCTAACTTGGAACATAAAGCATTGACATGCTGTTTCTCTGGTACAGTTTGCCACATGAAAATTAAAGTAGAAAAAAAATGATTGTCTTGGAAAACAATTTTTGAAAGCTTTTCACAATATTATCATGGGAATCTTTTTGCCCATCTGCTTTGCATATATATATATATATATATATATATATATACTATGCTCACTGTCTATGTGTGCACCAAAGAGATCTACTACAGTCACAGGATAGCAACTGCTTACCTCTTAAAGCCACAAACAGCCAAAACAGTGAACTAAAATCCAACCCATTTAAAGTCCGTGAAGGTTTCATTCTTGCTTTGCTTTCACAGACGTCCCTGTGTGAATGCTGTTCCTGTGGATCCCCAACAACTGTTAAAACAATAAACCCCACTGACAATCCAAGGAATCCAATCTACCAACTGCGGAGAGGAACCTAAAAATCTTGACAAGCCATCTGACTGGGTCTGAAGATCAGCCCAGCTTCCTCACTGCAACTGTACCTGTTTGGTTACGAGTGTTCAGTGTTGTCTTCTACGCTCGCACCACAACCACTCACAAACCTAGAGGGCATTCAGTCCGCTCTAGGGATCGGTCCTGATAACTTGTGAATGTGCCAAACTGCTTCACGACAAGCTCAGAACATGTTCTCGGCTAAGCAAAGGGAAGAGCATTAAGCCTAAGGGCAAAATTAGAAGTTGCTTTCAAATCCGGTTGAGTTGTTGTTATGGTACTAAGACTTCTTTCATTAAGCAACCAGTTTTCTAAAGGGATAGGAAAGCAGCAGCCTACCTTTCTGACCAGGATTAACATTTTTTACAGAGTGGCTATTTTCTTTACCCAACATTTTCACTAATTTTAAGAGTTTGTGGTCATCACTGGATTGTAGTATAATCACTTCCCACAATTCAAGTTCACTTGCATCTGTTAGTCCTCTTGACCCAAAGTATACAGTGTTATGTTAATGCTGACATGCAATGTCCGTTAAAAAAAAAACAAAAACAAAAAACTCGGTGTTTGTATTCCTGGAGTCTAAAGCCATTGTGTAAATTATATCTTTCCAAGAAAATCTAAAAACCATTAGTTAAAATCCTTCATGTAATCCTGTTATCATGAATTCTGCTCATTAATCCTATTCCCAGACAATGAGATGATGTTATGCTTCTGTGGCCTCTGTTTTCCGTTTCCCCACAATGTGCTGAGGAGGTTCCTCAAAGGGCAGGCAGGAATGTTGTAACTCTGCAAGGTCAGCTGACTAAAAAGTCCTCTCCTGCTTTGGACCTTTTCTGGTGGGGACTTGAGAAAACAAACATCCACATTCCTTATCAATGAGGAAGTAATTCACGAGTGATTTAACAGTTTAGTACTGGATACATGTTACTGGAGTTTTTGGTTCATCTTTGAAAACCTCAGAACTGACATACACTAAGCATTAGCACAGGTCTGCAGCAGAGACGGAAAAGCTCATAAATTAATACAAGGGCTTTGGGCCTTGATTTTCAAATTCAGACCAGGCATCATTGAGCTCCATGAAAATCATCTTTGCATATTGTTCATAGGGTTGCCCAGTAGCCTATAGAAAAAACAAAACACACATTAGATACCACAGACCAGAATTTTATTTATATTACATTTTCACTGCTAATATGTGGGCTCTATGCTATTGAAATGTTTTTCTATGAAGCCATTTCTCCTCTTACAGCCCAATCTATGTGCCCCTCATTACTATGACCTCCACAGAATGCCTTCTCCCTAGAACAGCCGTGGGCAAACTATGGCCTGTGGGGCCGGATCTGGCCCGTTTGAAATGAATAAAACTATTGAAAAAAAAGACCGTACCCTTTTATGTAATTATGTTTACTTTGAATTTATATTAGTTCACACAAACACTCCATCCATGCTTTTGTTCCGGCCCTCTGGTCCAGTTTAAGAACCCATTGTGGCCCTCGAGTCAAAAAGTTTGCCCACCCCTTCCCTAGAAATTCACATATGGTAGGTCAATGAGTAGATAACAGAGAACTTATTGGGCAGCAAAAGATTATTCTCTATTCTCCAGAAGTTTTCCAGAATTATCTACCAATTGACAAAAGATTATGACAGTCTATCTCCAATTGATTGTATTTCTAAACTCCCATTTTCCCATTTCTAAAAATAGCTAAGTTCTTGGAGATCCTAAACTTTAGTCACTGGTGATATTCCTCTGTAAGGAAAGCCCCCATTCCATTATTCGTAATATGTAGTTTGATTTTTTATCCACTTTATAAAGTTTTTTTAAATACTGGATTTTAGCCCATGAACTTTATTTTATCATATAAATGGCCTAATAACCAGCAAATTGAAAGTATGTAGCTTTGCCCAGCTGGTGTGGCTCAGTGGTTGTGCATCGACCCATGAACCAGGAAGGACGTCATGGTTCAATTCCAGTCAGGGCATATATCCAGGTTATGGGCTCGGTCTCCAGAGTGGGGTGTGCAGGAGGCAGCCGGTCAATGATTCTCTCTCATCATTGATGTTTCTCTCTCTCAGCTCTCCCTTCCTCTCTCTGAAATTAATAAAAGGAATATTTTTTTAAAAGAAGGTATGCTGTTTTAATACATGGTTATAAATTAATGAAATGAGGAGCAAACAGGCAATACAATAGGGTAGGTTATGCTCACTTTGTCTGGATGCACCACCAGCACAGCTCGCCTGTACACCTTCTTCACCTGCTCTGGCGTTACCAGGTCTGCCATGCTCACTGGCTTCCACTTGGTCTCCCCAGCCCACAGCACAGTGTGCATCGTGGAGAGAAGTGCTCTGATATTTCTCTCTTTGCCTTCAATCCATTCCAGAATCTGTAAATGCAGGGGAATTAAGAAATTCAGAAGGTCTCTATTGGGACTCTCGGGAATCCCTCCTGCTCCAGCAACATCCAAGTACCCGAGGCCCCCTGCTACTCCATGCTGCTTCCTTTACCTGGAAAGCTTTTCCACCTGTACTTCCTGACTTCTCTTTCTGGTTAACTCTTCATCATCCTTCAAAAGCCTGCTGAGGAATTTCATACTGTTCCCCTTTGAGAGTCTGAATTCCTGCCTCTCTGCCCCACCCCAGAGTGGATTATTCATTCCTAAAGTATACACTCCATGGGGACATACCCCATGTCTATTTTGGTCTCTGCTATCCAATTCTGCCTGGTACAGTGTCTGGCAAACTAATATAAAATAAATGCCCCTTGAAAAAAAGAAAGAATTTCTCCAGGCTACTTCCGTAAATATGTTTCTATCATAATATGTGCCACCCTTCATTGTAATTGTCTGTGTGTTTGTCCTTCCCTGCCATGAGGCAGAGCTGTTTGAGGAAAGGTACTATTTCTTACATAACACTGTTTCTCAGAAACCAAATAACTCTCTTAGCACAGAATAGAGCTCAAAAAGGTTTAGTAAGCCTGGCCGGTTGAGCATCAACCTATGAAGCAGGAGGTCATGGTTCAATTCCCATCAGGGCACATGCCCAGGTTGAGGTCTCGATCTCCAGTGTGGGTCATGCAGGAGGCAGCCGAACAAGGATTCTCTCTCATCACTGATGATTCTATCACTCTCTCCCTCTCTCTCCCTCTCTGAAATTGATAAAAATATATATTTTTTAAAAGGCTTCAAAGATTTAAATAGACATTTTTCCAAAGACACACAAATAGCCAACAGATATAATAAAAGATGCTCAGCATTATTAATATACAGGGAAATACAAATCAAAGCCACAATGAGGTACTACCTGAACTTGCCAAGAGAAACTGGACTTCTCCCTCTATGAAGGGCATTCTTATTCTCTTGATGTTTATAAGTTCTTCCACTACCTTCCACAACTCATCAACACAACCACTCTTTTGTTTCCAAGCTCACCTGGGTCCCCCTGTCCACACAACATCCTCATCTATGAACTATCATCTGTTTCATCATCTGTGAAATAAAGCAGTTAGAAGAGCTGGTTTTCAAACTTTAAAAAAAATGGAGAAACATTCTTTTTCTCCAAGTCAAATCCTCTCAGAAACTTCCAGAATCAGAAACAGATAAACGCAGAATGGCTCTGGTTAAAAGTGGAGGAAAGCACTGCGGAAGCTGGGGACTAGGAACATGATAGCTCTGCACACGTAACCTTGTCATACAGGATAATCGCACTGGGCCAGGGACTCACCTTTAATCTCTCAGGATCCATTTCCTTAGCCATTTCTTCCTTTCTCATCTCGGCTATTGTTCGAGGCCCCTTTTTGTCTTTGTGTGCATTGAAGCCTTGACCAGAAAGTAGGTCTTCAAAGTCAGCTGCTTTTTGTTTCCCTTCTGCAATATAATTTTTTTAAAAAAAATCATTATAGTGTTTACCCTTAAAGTATCAGACCACTGTCTCATGACACTTAGAATCTTCAAGTTGCTTTCGCATGCATAAATCCCCTTAATACTCACATTTACCCTGTGGGTAGAGTATAAGACTCCCATGCTCATTTTATAGATGAGGAAAATGAAGTCCACGGAACTGAAGAGATTTTTTCCAGAACCATATGCCGTGTCCATGGCAAAGCTAGGACTTGAGGCTAGATCATTAGACTAAATCCAATTCTATAATTCTGTTTCCACCGTACCATCTATGTGTAGATAAGGGTAATATTGATTCTCCCCCACGCTCTCTCCTAGTCATACAACTCGTTATTATCTATGATGGCACGAAGTCTGGGTCTTGGTACTTGAAATCTATGCATGCCACCACTTTCCCTCCTATACCCACCCAGCTGACAGTTTTAGTCCATCATAGTGGTCTTTTTCTACAAGTCTGGTTGGGCCTCAATCGTTCTCATTCTATTTGAAGAGGCAGCCTAGCTGGTGGTGCAGAGACTCTGGAGACAGACTCCCTGGGGTCTGAATTCCACAGCTCTGCTACTTCTGTAATGTTACCTTGAGACAAGTTACTGATCATCTCCATGCCTTACCTCATCTGTACAGTCTGTACTACTTACCTCATGGGGTTGTGTGAGAATTGATGTTAGCATTTTAAAGTGCTTAGAACAGTACCTGGCTATTTAAATATTTATTAAATTAAAACAAAACAGAGCCCTATCTGGTTTGACTCAGTGGATAGAGCATCGGCCTGTGGACTGAAGGGTCCTGGTTTTGGTTCTGGACAAGGGCACATGCCCAGGTTGCGGATTCGATCTCCAGTAGGGGGCTTGCAGGAGGCAGCCGATCAGTGATTCTCTCTCATCATTGATGTTTCTTTCTCTCTCACTCTACCTTCCTCTCTAAAATCAATAAAAATATATTTAAAAAAAAAACGCAGAACCAAAACACAGCAGTCCATGCCATCAATGCCATCAATGCGCTTCAACCAAAGTTGGTGTCCAAATCAAAACCCATTTGCCATCTCCATATTCTAAGGCGCTCTGTACACACATTCATACATACACACATTGACTAGGGATTTTGCCTGTCCTCTTCACTACTGAATCCACAGTGTTTTCTACACTGAAGATGCTCCATAAATATTTGCTGATGAAGACACTCACCACACATCCACTCAAAATAAAAATGGGAAGGAAGCCACAAGACTCGTGGAATTGTCCAAAGAATATCCATCGCTCTCCAAAACGTGATGTACCAGTTCCTAATAAAAGAATCCCTATCACGCTAGTGTTGTGAGAAGGCACCCACGTCATGACCAGTACAGTGTGGCAGTTAAGAGCAGACATTCTGGGGCCAGATCACTTGGGACCAAATCTTAGCTCTGTCACTTACAAGTTGTATGAATTTAAAAAATTATCGATCTTGTCACAGATTCCTCACCTACAGCACAGGGTTAGTTTTCAAGATTATATGAAATAATCCACGAAAACTGTTTAGAATGGCAACTGACACAATGTAGTAAGTACTCAATAAATGTTAGTTACTGCTACTAGGAAAAGTAGGATTTCTCTCCATGGATTCTGTAGAGGGAAGGGCCTATTTCCTCATCATGTCCCTATATATTTAATTCCTGGGTATGATCAGATCAACTGGAATGCAAAATGTATCATACCATGCCTTTTAATAAACTCAAGTTTAACCACTCCTGCTATGCAAAATATTTTTACTCAGCAACAATCCCATTCAAAAGTTAAAAATAAAAAGAAGCCCATCCAACGTATCCTAGAGCCTTAGCTGTTGACCCATATCGTGTTCTCAGAAGAGAGGGAAAACCATCACAGGAAACCCAGTGGCCTCAGGAACATCCGCTTATGCAGCGTAAGACTCAATGTCTAAGACAGATTCACTGTAACCAGGACCCAAGGGCAAATGTGAACACAGTGCTTAAGAAGTTCCCAATCTTTCTCTTCTACCCCTTCTTTCAAAGGAACGACAGCTTCAAGATCCACCCACCCCTCCACTCATTCACTCAATATTCATTTAGTGCAGGGGTGGGGAATGCCTGGCCCACATGCCATATAAGGCCCTTGAAATCATTTGGTCTGGCCATGCCAAGGCATTAGGGGTGAGTTAATTAAATGTTTGGCCAAATATAGCAGGCTAATTTTTAAGTTGATAATTTTGTATGGCCCATGAATGGTGTTATAAATACCCAAATGGCCCTTGGTAGAAAAAAGATTCCCCACCCCTGATTTAGTGTATATGGTGTGCCAAGCGCTATGCTATGCGCTAGTGATAACATGGTAAACATACACACATCTGGTCTCAGTGTGGGGAGAAACAGACAAGTGAAGCAACAGTCATAAAATGATAAGGCATTCAGAGCATGGTATACCCAGGTACTCTAGGCACAGAGTTGGAGGCAGGGGTCATGTTGTGTCTCTACAACTGTATGATTGTCTCAGAAATCATTGGAATTATTTTCTGTCTCCTTCTTAGGACATACATACATCCAGGTAGAATGACAACACAGGCCACGCTACAGCCACGCTCCATACCATCATCCTTACCCAAATTAGTCGATCCTTTCCCACGTTCATTCTGGACCCCAGGCATGGCTGAGAAGCTCACGTTGTAGTTGGGCCGGTTCTGGGGAGAGGAGTGCGGCATGCTGGGCTGTGGCTTAGACTGTGTCTGCTGCCAGTTGTAGCCACTTCCCTGCTGCCACCCTCCACCCATAGGTTGGGGAGAAGCTTTCTGTGGTGAGCTGAGAGGTGGAAATCCCCCACCCAGTCCAGTTGGTGTGGTGGGTTTGCTGGCAAATGAAGAACTACCTATAGAAAAAAAAAGGGGGCGGAAGAAATAAGGTAATGCTGTTTTGAGTAGCCTTTAACTCTTGTGTCCTGAGTTACTGTTTGCAATAGCTTTAGTGGAAATTGCTTTGACTAATAGCACTATTAACCTTCCTAATACTAAAAAAAAAAAAAAGCAGGTATATATTTCCTTTAGTCCCCACAATGACATTTTTAGGTATGTATTAATAGCCTCATCTTTTCTTTAGATGAACAAACTGCTCAGAGCAGTTAACTGATTTTCTCCGTCACACAACCAGCAAGTGACAAACAGGGATTTGAATCCAAGCCTTTGACTCCACGCCAGAAGAGCCCTGGCTCTCCCCACTGTGCCTTCCTCTCCTCCATCCCTTCTTCAAAGCAGATTCTATTTCTTGACCGGACTAAAGATTACCAAATAATAAGAACAGGAAATAAAACAAAATATGTTCACTCATTAAGGTGCTATTTAAACTTCGACGATCAGGATTAATCATTATTTGTTGAAGTACAAGCGTGGTTAATGCTCAAGAGTAAACAAATATGTTTTGAAATTTCACGAGTAGGTTTCAATTTCACTCTACTTGGATTTCATTGCAGGAGAGTAAGCACAGCCAACTTTGAACAGAACAAAGGATCTTATTCAACCTTTTAAACATGATATTATTTTGTGCCAGGAATTTAAGTAGAATCCTGATTCCATAATCCCCTAACTTAAAAGTATTCACTGAATACATGCTGAGCTGTTTCTAAAATAGAAAGACCAGTTGTGGCTTGTGTTTAAAGAGGTAAAATGAGAAACTGCCAGTTATAGTTGTGATCTCCTGGGACCCTTTTGTCACCAAACCCAAAGTAACAATGACAATAAAATAACTAGCATTTCAGAGCTCTTTAGAGTTTACAAAATATGTTTATTATTGCCTTCGGTCTATGCAACACTCTTAGGAGATAGGTAGTATCATTGGTCCCGCATTAAAGATGAGGAAAGCAAGTCTCAAAAAGGTTTACTAATGTACTCATAATCACACAGGTAGTTAACGAGGTTGGGAATTGATCACACACATCCTACCTCCAAATGTCATGTTTATTGGCTGCACCCAAATCCCTAATTCCTCCCCAAATTTCTGAGCTTTTCACTATAATTCACAGTAATGAATGATAACCCAATGAATCAAAAAAATCCATTAGTCCATTCTGATGTGAGGGATGAGGAGGGAGAACGGGAGAAAGAGAGAGAAAAAAGAAAATTATTTTCTTTACAGTAAAATGCCAATTAATAAATGTAGAAAGAAAGAAAGAATCAGAAGAATCACAATTTTGCAAGTATTATAACAATGACTACTTCAGAAAAGAATCATTAATGAATGTTAAAATAGGTGGGTAAAAGTCAGGTGGAGAATATAATCTTCTCTAATAGGATTATCTCAAATAGGATAGCCTCAAATTATCTCCCCCTATTACTCATTAATTACAAAGAGGAAAATTATAATTTTATAATGAAGGAAACTGGCAGACATCACCTTAAGCAAGTCATTAAAGTTAACAAATTGAGACTTGCTTAATTGGCCTGTGCCCTTCAAGTTTCAATGTCATAAAAGGCAAAGAAAGGTTGAGGAATGATTCCAGATTAACAATGTCTAAAAGGACATGAGAGCTAAATGCAAGACATAATGTTGGATTTTAAAAAGAGCCTCCTACAATGGCCACTCTTCATCTACAAAAGGAGGATTATAATAGCCTCTACTTCAAAAGATTATTGGGAAGATTAAATAAATTTATATATGTAAAGCACTTAAAATAGTGCCCAGCACATAGTAAATCCCCCAGCAAACAGTTATTATATTATATATTTATTCACTTACTATTTATTTACTTTTCTAGAATATAAGCTTTAGAAAACAGAAATTTTGTTATTATTGTTTTTGGTGGTGGGTTTTTATTAAAACAGTATTAGCATATTGAAGACACTAAAGAGTTATGAAATGAATAAATGGGGGGAAAATGAACACCTAATGATGTTTGATTTGAGGTAGAATTCCACCGGATATTGTTATTTAAAATTTTTAAACTTACATTAGGATACAAAGAAGGGAAAATAATTTTGAGAGTTCTTAAAAAAAATTCTAAAGCATATATAAGGGCAAGTCAAGAATCTGATCCAATTACTGTCAAAATGGTAGCATGCTCTCATTCCCTGCAGACAATTTGGCTCTAAATACCCCAGGGCTTCCTGAGAACCTGAACTATCCACCTGGCTAACTTAAACCTTCGTGTCAGGGCCCATCCACCCTTGTTTAACAGCTCTGCACTGCCCAGAGGAGGAAGGAAAAGGGAGGAGACAAGGCTTCAGAACATCCAATGAACTACTCCTTGCAAAAAAAATGCTTTCTTGGTGAAATAGTTCGAGAATACTTCAAACTGTATACCTTTTGGGAAGCATCACTATGACCATTTATTCCCAGAAGTTTTTGCAGTCATCAAAGTCCACCGAACCCAGTGTTTCCAAAATTACTTGCTCATGTAACACTTATCCTCTAATAACAATGAGCACACGATGAAAACCACTTTGAAAATACTATACAGAGTCTATTTTTTGTATGTAGTTGATGGCGAGAAGGGGGGTACCAGTGTAAGGACCTCCCTGGTAACATCACAAGAACACCTATGCACAGCTGGCCCCAGGGGGCTCAAATCTACCTGACCAGTCTCACCGCTTACGTTTCCCTACACTGTTGCTACTTTTACTGCAAACTCTGTTGTCAGATGCTCCTAGAAATTCTAACTTTATTCATCCTACTAATCCAAAATGGATTAATAGGGGTTAGTTAGTGAGCTGACTTACTTAAAGCCTATTTTTTGCGTATGTGTTTAAAGCCAATCTCGGGTTTAGAGTGGATATCCTTAAGAATATACAACATTTTAGGTACCAGCTTATTATAACACTAAAGATTTAGATTTGAGGTTTCGTAGCCTCAAATAAGTAGATTTCTTAACCTGTTAAGTTTATACCTAGTGTCCCAAGATCCGCAAAAGGATCCAGAGTCTGGGGTTTGTTTTGATGGGTGGGAGTTCCATGTGAGGATCCGGTGGGGCTGGTGGCAGCTGACTTGCTTCCCATTCCAAAACCTCCTGAAAAGGAATAAGATAATTGAAAATGAGTTAGTTGTCTAAGGTGTAATTCTGAATTTTGTCAGTAAGGGTAAATTAGGACAGGATTTGGAAATATGTTAGAAGTTGGTAGACCTTGTTTCTCTGAACTTAAGTGAATAGTGTCCTGGAGCAGAGACAGGGTCCAAAAAAGGCATATATGTTGTTTCCTGGCCACACCTGTGAACTATTATGTCCAGTGTTTACCTTTCCTGTCATCTGACTTCATTCTTTTTATGAGATTTGTAGTCAGGCCTGGATCTGAATTCTGTCTCTGCTATTTAATGAATGAGTGGCCTTGTGCACACTGTTTAACTTCTCTGAGTTTCAACATTTTTCTCGTTTGTTAAGAAACAGGAACTGCTTCAGAAAGTTGCCATGATAAGCACATTGTGTGTGTGTGTGTGTGTGTGTGTGTGTGTGTGTGTGTAACTTGCACAGTGCTGTGAATGCAATCACACAAGTTGGCTCTCAATAAACACCATCTCGCCATGAGAAAGAACTTATTTATGAAATCACAGACAAATCCAGCCCTGAAACAAGTCCTTTGTGAAGAAGGAAGACCATCCAAATTATTTAGCAGCTACTCTGCACTAGAAATTTTCAAATAAGTTATTTCACTTAAACTACACAACTATGTGGGACAAGAATTATGGATCCCACTTTGCAGATAACAAAACTGAGATTCAGACTTGTAAAAAAAAATCCAAGAACTTCTAAGTGGCGGAGTTAGGTATATACCCAGATCTGCCAAATTCTAGCATCAAAACAGACATTCAGCAAATGAGACTAGGAAAAGTAAAATAACATGTAATACATTTTATCATGTCATTACCATGTCATCAAATGCAATGGGAAAGTTCCACAAGAATATAAGTCTTTAGGAAAGATCAACACAAATTACATAGGTGGGCTATAATACTCACTTCATTCTGGGTGAACAGTCATGCTTTAGCAATTGGTTACATGTGCATATGAATAGCCTGCTGGCCTTTACCTGGTTTAGTCTGCCAGTCCCAACCTCCTGAAACATCTGGCTGAATATTCACAGCAGGTGTACTCGAAGCTAAAAATCAGGAGAAAAAAATAATGAAAGATCAACACAAATTACATAGGTGGGCTATAATACTCTGTAAGAACTCACTTCATTCTGGGAGAACAGTCATGCTTTAGCAATTGGTTACATAGAAAGATCAACACAAATTACATAGGTGGGCTATAATACTCACTTCATTCTGGGTGAACAGTCATGCTTTAGCAATTGGTTACATGTGCATATGAATAGCCTGCTGGCCTTTACCTGGTTTAGTCTGCCAGTCCCAACCTCCTGAAACATCTGGCTGAATATTCACAGCAGGTGTACTCGAAGCTAAAAATCAGGAGAAAAAAATAATTAAGAAATGACAGCTCAGACCCTGCCTTTCTAAGTTCATGTAGGAAAGTGCTATGCCGTCCATGAGATCTGCATGGCCTCCCAAGGTCCCAAGGGATCCTGAGCTCTCAACACGTTTTGCAGCATTTGATAATTTGTGCATTCCTCCTTGGAGACTTCCATGAGGATTGGTAAAAGCCATATAAAAATATTCACAGCAGGTGTACTCGAAGCTAAAAATTAGGAGAAAAAAGTAATTAAGAAATGACAGCTCAGAACCTGCCTTTCTAAGTTCATGTAGGAGAGTGCTATGCCGACCATGAGATGTTCATGGCCTCCCAAGGTCCCATGGGATCCTGAGCTCTCAACACGTTTTGCAGCATTTGATAATTTGTGCATTCCTCCTTGGAGACTTCCATGAGGGTTGGTAAAAGCCATATAACTAGCCTCCAAAATGTATACACAGTTTAACAGCTGATACCTCAACTGATTTTTTTTTTCATATTTAATCCACTGGAATTAATAATGGCAGCCAAAATGTGTGTACATTACATTTTTTTAGTGTATTGTCTATCTCTGTCCCTTCTTTGGCTCACTTTTATTTTACCCCCATATCCACCACACACTTTGAAATATAACTGTGCATGTCTGTCTTCACTAAATTGTGAGTTCCTTGAAGGCAGGAACGACCTGATTCATCAATGTGTGTCCCACTTCTATAGTTATCTGGAAGTCGGTGGGCAATAAGAAAAAATGAAAAAAAAACAACTCAATTTGTCTTCAGTTGGCATGAACAAGCTAACTTGTCTTCAGTTGGCATGATCAACTTAGAACTGAACTTTTGTTTTCTTTGCTGTGACATGAATTGAGAATAATCAGTCTTTCGCCATCATCACCACCAGCACCATTGTCATCACCATCACCACCACCACCATCACCATCACCATCACCATCACCACATCACCATCACCATCACCGCCACCACCATCACCATCATCATCGCCATCACCACCACCACCATAACCATCACCATCACCACACCACCACCACTACCACCACCATCACCACCACCAAAAGAATCATGAAATCACCAAGATTAGCATTACGAAGCCTTATATTTTCTTGTTTGCTTAGTATAAACCAAGATGTCTTCTACATTTACATCACTAAGTTAAAAAGAACATGCCATTATCAGCAATTACAGTTCTTTCCTTTCTATTCTTATTCCACAGTAATCCCTGAAAACTGAGGTGGAAATTAGACCATTTTGCCAACCCTTGCTGTCTGACTTCCTTTAAACTCTGATCTTAGTGTTACATCCAACTAGGATGTAGAACTGGGTATCAGAATTTCAACTTTATTACTAATCAAACCCAAAAATCCTTATGCAAGGCACCATGCCAGGGAACAGATAACTAAAAGACACATTGCCAATTTTCAATAAACTTAAAATATGTTGGAGATGGAAATATATAAATTAAAAGGTAATTACCTAATACTTTTATTCTCCATCTTGCCTTTCATTATAGTTATTTGTTTATTTTTTCTTCTAACACTATGCTCTAGTGCTTATTCTCTTTAGAGTAGACGTTCAATAAACGTAGAGCTCAAAGGTAATATTTCTTGATTTTCAGAAGAGATTGGTGGTGCCTTGTAGAAATTAGAAAAATGACTCCAGGTTTCCAGCTTGAACGGCTGGGTAAAAGAATGGGAATAGGTGCCTTTTGCTCAGATAGGGAATTCTAAAGATGAGCAATTCTGACCGCCAAATCTGACATCTGAGTCTCATATACACGTTATCCTATACCAAGAATCTGCAAATGATCTACTACAGATGGAATGATCACTGACTTCCAAGCAAGGAAGAGTGCTAAATTCTTTTCACTCACTGGCACGGCTTATTCTCTTTAGAGTAGACGTTCAATAAACATTTGTAGAGCTCAAAGGTAATATCTCTTGATTTTCAGAAGGGATTGGTGGTGCCTTGTAGGAATTAGGAAAATGACTCCAGGTTTCCAGCTTGAATGGCTGGGTAAAAGAATGGGAATAGGTGCCTTTTGCTCAGATAGGGAATTCTAGAGATGAGCAATTCTGACCGCCCAATCTGACATCTGAGTCTCACATATACGTTATCCTATACCAAGAATATGCAAATGATCTACTACAGATGGAATGATCATTGATTTCCGAGCAAGGAAGAGTGGTAAATTCTTTTCACTCACTGGCAAGACAGACAAAAATGGCTACAGAACAAAGGGGTGCTAACTGACCTACATTGGGTAATAACATGTTCTAACCAGCTCAAAAGAAACAGAGAACCAGATCCAGAACTGCCATGCTGAAGTGTAAACATCCAAACCCCAGGGACATAAAAGGTAGAACTCTTGTGAAAATAATAAATTCAAAGTACCAAAACCAGGAAAATATATAACCTTATTAATTCTATCATGGTGCATCAAAGAAGCATAGATAGGAAAAAATGAGTTAATTCATTTTATATTTATATATTCAATAGAAAGATAGATAGAAAGCACCCACTGTGTGTCAATAATTCTTCTAAACGCTAGGAAAGCATTAATGAGCAAACAAACAAAAATCCCTGCCTTGGTGGGAAAGATAGACATAACATGTAAGTACACTATTAAATATAATGAAGTTGATAGGTATCATGGAAAGGAAACTGTAGTAAGGGCAGCGGGGGGATGAGTTGGGATGTGAAACGGAGCAGTCAGAGTAGACTCCATTGAGAAGGTGACAGTTGAGCAAAGATCAAAGAGGTGAAGGAGTTAGCTACGTGATGTCTGGGGATGAGGCGACAGCCAGTGCAACAGCAAGTAGGCCAGTATGGCTGGAATAAAGAGAGCAAGAAGGAGAGAATAGAAAATGAGGTCACTGGGGTGCTAGAGCACATAGGGCCTAGGTAGGCCATTTTGAGGAGGACTTTGGCTCCCATGCTAAGTGAAAAAGGGAGCTATTTTGAGCAATGATGTGACTTACATTTTAAGTAAGTGAGCAAAAACAGCAGCTTTAACCTCCATCCCTGCATCTTTCTCCCCAGGGAAACCAACTTCCAATCAGGAGATTTTCTTAGGTGGGCGCTACACAAGGGTAAGAGGTACATTTTTTGTATGTTGTCCTGTGGACCCACCTCAAATAGTTTGAGATTTAAGACTAATTGGAAATCACCCATAAAGGTTATTCCTAGACTGATTCCCATTTCAGTCAAGTTACAGTCTGACCTATGTTGCATAACGCATCTTCCTTTTGCATTGGCCTAACGTCCATGAAGTCAAGCTGATGACTGGACTGCATTCTCCAGACGAGCTCCGAGTGCCTTGAACAATACATCATTTTCTAGGTTGAGGCCAATAGTGTTCAATAACCTTCAACATCAAGAATGAGACACAGTTCTCTAGCTCAAAGCCATTTGTCCTTCATCAAAGAGCTCCCATTTTAATCTGTTTTGCACTTACAAATGGATGTGATCACTATTCTTGCCACACAACCTAAGTCTCTAAAATAATCTATAATAATAAAAGCATAATATGCTAATTAGGCTGGACAATCTTCCAGATGAAGCCGGGGCTGCAAGGGAAGCCCAGGTCCTGGGTGTCAGAGGGAAGCAGGTACTGGCAGCTGAGGGAAGGAAGGCCTACTCTTGCATGGATTTTGTGCATCGGGCCTCTAGTAAATATATAATGTGGGCCACATATATAATTTAAAATTTTCTTTTTTTAATTGATTTATTTAGATAGAGAGAGGAAAGGAGAGAGAGAGAGAAAAAAACATTGATTTTGTTGTTTCACTTATTTATGCATTCATTGGTTGCTTCTTGTATGTGACCGGAGATCAAATTGGCAACCTTGCATATAGGGACAACACTCTAACCAACTGAACTACCCTGACAGATGTAATTTTAAATTTTCTAGTTGTCATATTAAAAAGGTGAAAAGACATTGGTTAAATTAATTTTAGAAATATATTTTGTTTAACCTAATGTATTCAAAATATTAAAAAGTGATCAATATAAAATACTAATGAGATATTTTACATTCTTATTTTATATTGAGTGTTGAAATGTGGGATGTTATTTTATATTCAGAGCACATTTCAAATAGACTAGCCATGTACCAAGCGCTCAATGGCCACTTGGAATTAGATAGCTTCCTTGTCTAATTCATCAGGGTGCTGAATTCTAAACTTCGTTCTGTGGCATACTGATTTTGGCATTCTTATTTTATATTGAGTGTTGAAATGTGGGGTGTTATTTTTTATTCAGAGCACATTTCAAATAGACTAGCCACATACCAAGCGCTCAATAGCCACTTGGTATTAGATAGAATAGCTCTAACTCATCAGGGTGCTGTATTCTAAACTTGGTTCTGTAGCATACTGATTTTGTGGAATGCTCATATCACATTTTATTAACTTGCCTCACATTTTTCCACATTTCAAAGATGTCTTCAACTAGGATGCATCTTCCAATCAACTAAAAGTAATAGCATTGTTTTCTTCCTTCTCAGTACATAAAATAAACACCCTACAATCAACGGTACCATAATTCTATGCATGTCGTTCTAATACAAAAAAGAATTCCAAAGTCAGTAAGTTTTAGAAAAGCTGAGTAAAACAAAGTTAAACAGGCTTGTTTATGATAAGACACCCAGAGCTTTTAATATGGTAACATGAATTGTTAATGTCCAAAAGAGAGAGATGCATCATGTAGCTTCTCCTCACCCGATAGGAAAAAATGAGTTAATTCATTTTATATTTACATATTCAATAGAAAGATAGATAGAAAGCACTCACTGTGTGCCAATAATTCTTCTAAACGCTAGGGAAGCATTAATGAGCAAACAAAAATCCTTGCCTTGGTGGGAGAGATAGACATAACATGTAAGTACACTATTAAATATAATGAAGTTGATGGGTATCATGGAAAGGAAACTGTAGTAAGGGCAGGGGGGGATGAGTTGGGATGTGAAACGGAGCAGTCAGAGTAGACTCCATTGAGAAGGTGACAGTTGAGCAAAGATCAAAGAGGTGAAGGAGTTAGCCATGTAATGTCTGGGGATGAGGGGACAGCCAGTGCAACAGCAAGTAGGCCAGTATGGCTGGAATAAAGAGAGCAAGAAGGAGAGAATAGAAAATGAGGTCACTGGGGTGCTAGAGCACATAGGGCCTAGATAGGCCATTTTGAGGAGGACTTTGGCTCCCATGCTAAGTGAAATAGGGAGCTATTTTGAGCAATGATGTGACTTACATTTTAAGTAAGTGAGCAAAAACAGCAGCTTTAACCTCCATCCCTGCATCTTTCTCCCCAGGGAAACCAACTTCCAATCAGGAGATTTTCTTAGGTGGGCACTACACAAGGGTGAGAGGTGCATTTCTTGTATGTTGTCCTGTGGATCCAACTCAAATAGATTGAGATTTAAGACTAATTGGAAATCACCCATAAAGGTTATTCCTAGACTGATTCCCATTTCAGTCAAGTTACAGTCTGACCTATGTTGCATAACGCATCTTCCTTTTGCATTGGCCTAACGTCCATGAAGTCAAGCTGATGACTGGACTGCATTCTCCAGACGAGCTCAGAGTGCCTTGGAA